TGTCCCCATGTCTCCCAGTGCCCCCCATGTCTCAATGTCCCCATGTCCCCCAGCCAGTGTCTCTAGTGTCTGTGTCCCTGGTGTCCATGTTTTCAAGTGTCCCCTATTTTCCCAGTGTCCCCATGCGTCCCAGCCAGAGTCCTCTAGTCTCCCAGTGTCACTTGTGTCTCCCTGTGTCCCCAGGTCTTCCCGTCTTCCTAGTGACATGGGGCCCCTTGGATACATGGGGACACAGGGAGACATGGGGCATTGAGACACTGTGATACATAGGATCACTGGGAGACCTGAAGTAATCGACACATGGGGGCACTGGGAGACATGGGGCCACTGGGAGGAATCCATCTATACAGCAGAATCAAACTAAGTATTTTTTTGGTGATTTTACAGCATTTTCTCTTATGTCACTCCTTGTGATTTACATCATGTGATGTCACCCGTACATACAGGGAGTGCAGAATTATTAGGCAAATGAGTATTTTGACCACATCATCCTCTTTATGCATGTTGTCTTACTCCAAGCTGTATAGGCTCGAAAGCCTACTACCAATTAAGTATATTAGGTGATGTGCATCTCCGTAATGAGAAGGGGTGTGGTCTAATGACATCAACACCCTATATCAGGTGTGCATAATTATTAGGCAACTTCCTTTCCTTTGGCAAAATGGGTCAAAAGAAGGACTTGACAGGCTCAGAAAAGTCAAAATAGTGAGATATCTTGCAGAGGGATGCAGCACTCTTAAAATTGCAAAGCTTCTGAAGCGTGATCATCGAACAATCAAGCGCTTCATTCAAAATAGTCAACAGGGTCGCAAGAAGCGTGTGGAAAAACCAAGGCGCAAAATAACTGCCCATGAACTGAGAAAAGTCAAGCGTGCAGCTGCCACGATGCCACTTGCCACCAGTTTGGCCATATTTCAGAGCTGCAACATCACTGAGTGCCCAAAAGCACAAGGTGTGCAATACTCAGAGACATGGCCAAGGTAAGAAAAGGCTGAAAGACGACCACCACTGAACAAGACACACAAGCTGAAACGTCAAGACTGGGCCAAGAAATATCTCAAGACTGATTTTTCTAAGGTTTTATGGACTGATGAAATGAGAGTGAGTCTTGATGGGCCAGATGGATGGGCCCGCGGCTGGATTGGTAAAGGGCAGAGAGCTCCAGTCCGACTCAGACGCCAGCAAGGTGGAGGTGGAGTACTGGTTTGGGCTGGTATCATCAAAGATGAGCTTGTGGGGCCTTTTCGGGTTGAGGATGGAGTCATGCTCAACTCCCAGTCCTACTGCCAGTTCCTGGAAGACACCTTCTTCAAGCAGTGGTACAGGAAGAAGTCTGCATCCTTCAAGAAAAACATGGTTTTCATGCAGGACAATGCTCCATCACACGCGTCCAAGTACTCCACAGCGTGGCTGGCAAGCAAGGGTATAAAAGAAGAAAATCTAATGACATGGCCTCCTTGTTCACCTGATCTGAACCCCATTGAGAACCTGTGGTCCATCATCAAATGTGAGATTTACAAGGAGGGAAAACAGTACACCTCTCTGAACAGTGTCTGGGAGGTTGTGGTTGCTGCTGCACGCAATGTTGATGGTGAACAGATCAAAACACTGACAGAATCCATGGATGGCAGGCTTTTGAGTGTCCTTGCAAAGAAAGGTGGCTATATTGGTCACTGATTTGTTTTTGTTTTGTTTTTGAATGTCAAAAATGTATATTTGTGAATGTTGAGATGTTATATTGGTTTCACTGGTAATAATAAATAATTGAAATGGGTATATATTTGATTTTTGTTAAGTTGCCTAATAATTATGCACAGTAATAGTCACCTGCACACACAGATATCCCCTAACATAGCTATAACTAAAAACAAACTAAAAACTACTTCCAAAAATATTCAGCTTTGATATTAATGAGTTTTTTGGGTTCATTGAGAACATGGTTGTTGTTCAATAATAAAATTAATCCTCAAAAATACAACTTACCTAATAATTCTGCACTCCCTGTATTTAATTATGCAAATTAGCAAGGCCAGTATGTTTTTCCAGAAAGGTGGCAACCCTAACTACTTTTCACATACTCTTACTTAAGTATGGAAACTTAAGTGGGATGTATGGGAACAAAACTTGTGTGGACTGGCTGACAAAGAATATAGTTAAAGGGACACTAGAGTCACCAGAAGAACTACCGCTTATTGAATTTGTTCTGGTGAGTAGAATCATTACCATCAGGCTTTTTGCTGTAAACACTGTCTTTTCAGAGAAAATGCAGTCTTTACATTACAGCCTAGTGATAACTTCACTGGCCACTCCTTAGATGGCTGTTAGAGATCCTTCCTGGGTCATGGCTGCCTAAAATGCATCCAAACATTCAGTGTCTCCTCCCTCTGCATGCAGACACTGAACTTTCCTCATAGAGATTCATTGATTCAATTCATCTCTATGAGGAGATGCTGATTGGCCAGGGATGTGTTTGAATCATGCTGGCTCTGCCCCTGATCTGCCTCTTTGTCAGTCTCAGCCAATCCTATGGGGAAGCACTGTGATTGGATTAGGCCATCACCTCTAATGATGTCAGCAGACTGCTTGTTTTTCTGAGTCTAACAGCATGCAGAGTTACAGCTTCAGGCTTGAATACAGTAAGATTTTGCTATATTTATGGTGGCATGAGGGGCCCAGGGGGGCTAGATGGTGGTGATAACACTATAGGGTCATGAATTCATGTTTGTGTTCCTGACCCTATAGTGATCCTTTAAGGTAATGCTGACTTTGGTCTCTCTAACACTGTGGCATGTTCCCTTTCTTATGCACTCACTACATACAGCTTTTCTCTGTCCCAGACTATATACCAGGAGCTTCTGCCTGCTAGTAAGAAGATAAGGAAACAAGTCGACCAGCGAGTGCTAGGGGACAGTTCTTAGAAAGCGTTGAGCGAGCGCATCATTAGATGCATTTATGCCACGCTCAGGGTGCTGTCTGCATAGTATGCCCTTAGTTGGCCAGCTGCATGATACCAGGCTGGCCTTCTAATTCTTTGGGCAGACATATCCTCTTTTTGGGCATGTTCGCCCCTTTTGGCAGGTTACGTGATTTGTGTCAGTGGCACACCCTTTTACCATGCCCATTGACTTCCTGCTTGACTGGACACTGCTGTTAGGGGTTATGGATTTACTTAAAAGATGAAAACATAAATTAGAGAGAGATTAGCCTAGGGTATGTGTTTTATTATAGATGCTGTTTTCTTTCTCTCCAGCACCATCTCCACCAGATACATGATGCTTGGGAGTGTTTTACTGTTTTTGATCGATGTTTTTGATTCTGTAATTAGGCCCGTCATAATTGTCAGCACCAGGCCCACTGGGCTCTTAATCTGGCCCTGTTTAGGCCCCAGGGAGAGTGCGCAGCTTAGCGGACAGGGGCACATGTATGAGTGTGGGATGGATGATGCATGATTGGCTATATGCTACATGTTGGAGTGTGAGATGTGAGGAAGTTGATGGTGACAGATCAGACTGACCTCAGTGCCACTTAGGAGCTGGGCCAGCAACAAGGTTCTCTGCCTCTCCTGTTGCTGGGCTTGCTGGATTTTCTGCCTGGGGGCCCTGGATGCTGGATCCTGGTTGTTACAGCCATCCTGTGTGCCCTCAGGGCTGGAACTGGTGCTGCTGCTGCAGACAGTGGCCTCCTCCTTCCCCAGCAGCCTGGAGGTGAGGTTCCCCTCCCCAGCAGTCTGGCTCCCCCTGTGTCTCCCTCCATGGGCACCCTCCCTGGGCACATTCCCTGGGCACCCTCCGTGGCTCATCTGACCCCAGCTCTCCTCCTCGGGCCCGGTACAGGATCTGCAGCCTGGCCCCGAGGCTTCAACAGGGCCGCGCGCCTGGACCACGTGGCGTGTGGTGGGGGCTCACTCTGCCTCCTGTTGTTTCCAGAGGGGTAAGTACGGGGAAAAAAGGGCACGTGGGGGTGCAGGGCAGTGACGCCAGTGCTCATAAGTTCGATGCGCCCATGGCTCGACCGCTACTGGAATCTGCGGGCCATGGGGCCCCCGCTGGAGGGGGTCACCTGAGACTCTGGGATCCCCTTCTCAGAGTGCCCGGCATGAAATACTTAAAGTTCATCAATGCAGTAGGGAGGAGACTATGTTTAAAAGAAGTAAAACTTCCTCAATAAGAATACATAGTCTTAAATTGGAGGGGCAAAGATTTCACAATCATACCCGGATGTATTACGTTAACAAGAGGGTAGCGAATGCATGGACTAGCCTTCCAGCTGAAGTGGTAGAGGTTAACACAGTAGAGGAGTCTAAGTGAATGTGGGATATGCGTAAGGCTGTCCTACCTATAAGATACGGCCAGGGACTACTGTCAGTGGTTAGAAAATTGGGCAGACTGGATGGGCCGAATGGTCCTTATCTGCCATCACATTCTATGTTTATGCTTCTAAGTCTGTGCTCGACTTCCTGCAGATGATGCTGGATGAGCTCCTATGGGAGGTAGCTTTGGGGTGGTTTGCGGGGTCAGTTGAGGCCACGTCGCTCCCCAAGTTGCAGGTCCCCCTTGGGCCTGGTGCCCAAGTAGGAAGCAGGGGATTTTCGTCTGATTCATCGTTTGCCCTGCCCTCAAGGGGTTTCGGTGAAAGATGTCGGGCGTCCTAGGCATCCTTGATGCTGCGGTACGCATGGTCGGGGCAATGGGCCCTGGGGCTTTGCTAACGAAGGCCGACGTCGGAGCCGCGTTTTGCTTGTTGCCAGTTCATATGGATTGTCATCAACTCCTGGGTGGTGGGTTTGTGGTCGGTATTATGTGGATTCGTGCTTCCCGATGTGCTGTACATGTCCTGCTTTTAGGTTGCGTGTGTCAGCGGGTTGCGTGTGTCAGCGGCTGGCTCTGTCTAGTTGGGGCGATTCTGGGATCGCGCTAGTGTGCTAACATGGTCGGCGGCTTGACCAGAAATCTTGCCTTTCTGGAGCTTTCCCGTTGTGGTGGTGTTGGATTTATGGGGTCGGGAGCTACAGGACAGTCGGTTGTTATTCACCGTGCCAACCTCGGGGTTGTCCAGGCGATTAGCCAGCTCTCGGTCCCCCTTTTCTCTTTTGGTACTTCTCCTGCTCCAGCGCCTGGTGCTCCGGTGCCCGTGTCTTCATGTGTCATATAGGTTCGGTTACTCTTGGGCCAAGGTACTCCAGAGTATGGGTGGAATGGCAGACGCGGGAGTCAGAGGTGGGTGTTTTTGGTGGACGCCTGCTCGTTACAAGGTCTGTTGTGACTGCTGGAGTGTTGGGTTTCGGTGGATATGTCGCCCTCCGGGGTGTCCTTGCGCATGTCCAGTTTAGTTTTCTGGTTAAGTCCCAGGGTTGGGTGGCGGTCAACATGGAGTTTCTGGTATGGCATGCGGTGTAGGGCCCGTGCAGGGGTCGATTTCTGTGGATCCAAAGAGGACGGTTTTGTGGCCCTTATGGGCACAATTGTGCCAGGTGCTCCCAGAGGTATGCCTCGTTGTTTCTTCATTTCAAACTGGTCAGCCGGTAGGGGAGGATTCTATTTGCGGATGTCCGGGATGGTCAGGACCCAGTGTCCTTCAAGACTTATCCATACAAGACCTGTGGTCTGGTTCTCTTGCTTGCGGGGAAGGGGTGTCATTGGTTCTGGTCATTCCCCCTGGGGGGGGTAATGACCTGGCGACGGTGCCGCTCGGAGACTGGTGGACATAGGGAAGCGGGACTTGTCCCAGATCCTTATGTCATTTCCGGGTTTTTTTTGCATGTTGTGGTCGGAGGTTGTGGCGAGGAACTATTGGCTGCAAGCACACATCTGGAGTGCGTGGGAGCGCTGCCACGAAGGGTTTAACCGCTGGGTTTCGCGGTTTGTTATAGGGGTTTGGGGGATGCCCATTTCATCAGGTTTTGAGAAGGATGGGGTTCATTTGACTGAGGTCGGGCTCGACCGTTTTAATCTGGCCATTCCAGAGACGGTGGAACAGGCCATGGTTGGTTTGTTTAGGGTCCCCCGCTGATTTTAGACTTAAAACAGCGGGGTTGTGGTGGGGGTGTGTCCTTCAGTTCCATAGTTTGGGCGCTGAACACCACGGGCCGTTCGGGAGGTAAAATAGCTGCTGCCACGTGTTCGGCAGACAAACAAAGGCCACCCAGCGTTCATCAATTAAGCTGCGGTTAACCACAGCTTCTGGGCGGTCAATTGACGGCACACTCCAGCTCCCAGGTGGTCCATCGTTCAGTAGTTTGTTCGGTTTGGTAGATTAGATGAAAAAGGGGGATAATGGCCGGGTCTCATCCTCCCCCTGTGGTGAACCTGGAGGAGGTACCAGGTTGGACGTGTCCCCACTGGGTTGTATGTAAACCAGTGGGGAGCATTATGGTTGGGCCCTACCGAGTTGGTGGGGAGCCTTAAAAAGGAAGATGGTTTTTATTATGCCGAGGGAGGGAGGTGAGAGCCTTGGGAAAGTTAGATTGGCAAGGACGGTTTCTTTGGTTACTGTATGACTATATGCAAATTGTTTATGTTACTTTATGATATTTATTATTTCGTTATATGTTAAAGGAGTCGTACAGTATTTGGTTGTGTTAATAAATGCTGTGGCCTGTTTTCTCCAAGAAGTTGTCTGTCGTTATTTGAAGGGGTAAGTTATGGTTTTATGGGGGATGAAGGGAATGCTATCCAATGCCCACTACGTACATACAAGGCCCCAGGGAGAGTGTACAGCTTAGCGGACAGGGGCACATGTATGAGTGTGGGATGGATGATGCATGATTGGCTATATGCTACATGTGGGAGTGTGAGATGTGAGGAAGTGGGTGGTGACAGATCAGACTGACCTCAGTGCCACTTAGGAGCCGGGCCAGCAACAAGTTTCCCACCCACCCTCCCTTTGCTGCTTTGGGCCCGGGGGGTTGTCACAGCGAGGCGGGGGTGTGTCCTTGCCAAATAAGGGATGGTTTGGTAGATTAGATGAAAAAGGGGGATAATGGCCAGGTCTCATCCTCCCCCTGTCTCTTATGGTGAACCTGGAGGAGGTACCAGGTTGGACGTGTCCCCACTGGGTTGTAAGTCAACCAGTGGGGAGCATTATGGTTGGGGTTGGTGGGGAGCCCTGAAAAGGAAGATGTTTTTATTATGCCGAGGGGGGGGAGGTGAGAGCCTTGGGGAAGTTAGATTGGCAAGGACGGTTTCTTTGGTTACTGTATGACTATATGCAAATTGTTTATGTTAATTTATGATATTTATTATTTCGTTATATGTTAAAGGAGTCGTACAGTATTTGGTTGTGTTAATAAATGCTGTGGCCTGTTTTCTCCAAGAAGTTGTCTGTCGTTATTTGAAAGGGTAAGTTATGGTTTTATGGGGAATGAAGGGAATGCTATCCAATGCCCACTACGTACATACAAGGGGTGATTATTTCTGATGACTTAAAGGTAGTCCGTTTTCAGTTCCATAGTTTGGGCGCTGAACACCGCTGACCGTTCGGGAGGTAAAATAGCCGCTGCCACGTGTTCGGCAGACAAACAAAGGCCACCCAGCGTTCATCAATTAAGCTGCGGTTAACTATAGTCTAAAGGGAGCAGGCGAGCAACCAGGCTTCTCCAGTGTACAGTGGCGAGGTTGGTTCCGCCACAACTTAAAGGTAGGAAGACAATGTAATAGAGCAGCAGGAAATGCTAGCAGAATGCTTGGTTGTATAGGGAGAGGTATTAGCAGTAGAAAGAGAGAAGTGCTCATGCCATTGTACAGAACACTTGTGAGACCTCACTTGGAGTATTGTACACAGTACTGGAGACCGTATCTTCAGAAGGATATTGATACCTTAGAGAGAGTTCAGAGAAGGGCTACTAAACTGGTTCATGGATTGCAGGATAAAACTTAACAGGAAAGCTTAAAGGATCTTAACATGTATAGCTTGGAGGAAAGACAAGACAGGGGGGATATGATAGAAACATTTAAATACATAAAGGGAATCAACACAGTAAAGGAGGAGGTTATATTTAAAAGAAGAAAAACTACCACAACAAGAGGACATAGTCTTAAATTAGAGGGACAAAGGTTTAAAAATAATATCAGGAAGTATTACTGAGAGGGTAGTGGATGCATGGAAAAGCCTTCCAGCTGAAGTGGTAGAGGTTAACAAAGTAAAGGAGTTTCAGCATGCATGGGATAGGCATAAGGCTATCCTAACTATAAGATAAGGCCAGGGACTAATGCAAGTATTTAGAAAATTGGGCAGACTAGATGGGCCGAATGGTTCTTATCTGTTGTCACATTCTATGCATGTTTCTATGTGCATAGAATAATTAACAAGTGATAAAACATGTGAACTACTACAATTAATTAATTACATAATCAATCAATCAATCAAAGTTAAGCAGTTGTCAAACATAATCATCTCTCCAATCCTTAGCCCACATTTTAGGAGTGTCAGACATCACAGGGTAATCCACCCAATAGAACCCTAGGTTAACTGATTATTCAATTGTTAAAGAGGTTTTTCTAATTAAATATAATAAGGCAAAGTAGTCTAAATAAATTGGAAACGCCAGGATAGAATGAATTACTTACATTTCCAGTTCGATTACAAACAATAGGCTTTAGGTCTAGAGACATGCTTGGCCAGTCCATTACCTCTAGCTTCTTTAGCAAGGCAGTGGTCATCTTGGAGGTGTGTTTGGGGTCGTTATCATGTTGGAATACTGAACTGTGGCCCAGTATCCGAAGGGGGATCATGCTCTGCTTCAGAATTTCACAGTACATGTTGGCATTCATGGTTCCCTCAATAAAATGTAGCTCCTGAGTGCCGGAAGTACTCATGCAGGCCCAGACCATGACACTCCCACCACCATGCTTGACTGTAGGCAAGCCACACTTGTCTTTGTACTCCTCACTTGGTTGCCACCACAAACGCTTGACACCATCTGAACCAAATAAGTTTATCTTGGTCTCATCGGATCACAGCACATGGTTCCAGTAATCCATGTCCTTAGTCTGCTTGTCTTCAGCAAACTGTTTGCAGGCTTTCTTGTGCATCATCTTTAGAAGAGGGAATACATATGAATAGAAATGTCAGATGAACAAACAAACACTGAATATCGGTGTTCGTTTGTTAGTTCAGTTTATTACAAGGAGGGAGCTTGCAGCTCCCTCCTTGTTAAAAGTAAAAATAGAAGCGGCAGGGAGCAGTGCTCCCCACCACTATCTAAGCCCCCCATGTCCTCCCTCATTCTATGGGTGTCAATATGACCCCCATAATAGCATAAGGAAGATTAAAATCTCCTGAATGTCCCTACCTGCTACGCCGCGAGTAGGGGCATGTCTACTAAGCCTGTGGCCTATTGTCCTCCCCCCCGGCCCCCAACCATGAGTGGCAGGTGGGGGCCATAAAAACAATGAGGGAGGGACCTATTTTCCACCCCCTCCCAGTCCCCACCTGCCCCAATTCAACTCAGAGCAGATTTGTTGGCTTGGAGTTCAACCAGAGTGCTAAACATTTTACACATCGTGGGAAAGTTCTTTGCAATTTTCCCATGCTGTGTAAAATGACACAGAGCACTCTGATTGGTTGGACTCCAAGCTCTGAGTCAAATTGCAACCTCGACGGGTATTATGTTTTTTGTTTGGCCTTTTTGGGGGCTGAAAAATTAAGATTTTATTAAAAAAGAAGACATCAAATGTTTTTTTTTACA